ATTGATAAGTCGATTGAGTGCCAAGGTGGTAGTGCGTGTGATTCAATGGTCTCTAGCTTCCGACGCAAAGGGCCGATCGCAGCGATTACTTCCGAGTCATGTTCGCAGCATGCATCCATTGGTGATTTGTGTCGCGGTCGCGGGCCTCCAAAAGAGCGCTCGACTATCTGCCTCATCATGTTTCCCGCTGGCTTCGTGAATTGTCGCAGTGCGTATCTCGCAAGTCGCAGACGAATTCTCTCCGCCGGAGATAGCATGGCTGATTCGAAGTGGAGCATGCCGATCGGAGTTGTGCGTACCGCTCCCAATGCTTTGCGCAGCATCTGGTTTTGAAGCAGCTCTAGCGTACGGATGCACTTTGATTTGGCGGTTTTGCCTTTTCTTTTCTGATACGGATTGATCCATATGTGACTTGCATAATCGGTGGCCGCGCAAACGTGTGTTTTAAACAGCATCAGGAATTGCTTCGTTGATATTCCTCTTCTTGTGTTGGCTAGGCGTCCGATGGAAGCAGCTGCAGCATAACCTCGACGGATCATCACTGTTAACTGCTCTTTAAAGTCTAGTTTGCTGTCCAGCATCACACCCAGGTATTTGATCACTTTCGCGCTGTTGATATTCCTTCCGTCCCATTGCAGTGGTGTTTCGACGTCCCTATTTGGTTTAGATCTAGGAGCAAACAGGATATATTGAGTCTTTGCTAGATCGAGCGGTGTGCGATGTGTTGATGACCATTCGTTGGCGCCTGGTAGCTCTCGTTCGAGGGCACTCCGGGCTCGGTCTGCTGATTTTGCTGCTGCCAGCCAGATCACGTCGTCAGCGTAACCAACTTTGGCAAGTTGGCTTGCTAGCGTGTTTCCCGTGTCCCATCGACGCAACAGCGCTGTATTGTATATGAGATACAGTGGTCCACTGATTGGTGAGCCTTGTGGTGAGCCTTGCGTAAGTCTGAAGGTCTGTGAAGAGAAGTTTGAAAATTTGAAAGAGACCTTTCGATCCCTCAAAAAGCTGCCGATCCAACGGACGAGGTATTCTGGTATTTGTGCTCTGCGACAGTCGTCTAGTAAGATCTCATGCACCACATTGTTGAACGCTCCTTGTGCATCCAGCGCCAGTGCTGCTACTACTTCCTTTCGATGCCATGAGTCTCTAATGAATTCTGTGACGTATAGGAGTGCATCGTCGGTGCCTGTGCCTTTTCGACATCCGAAGTGTCTCTCTGGAATGAGTTTGCGGGTGTCCATTTCGTATTGTAATCGATTAGTGACGATGACTTCGATAGCTTTGGAGATGTGATTTAGTAGGGCGATAGGCCGGTAGCTCTCTGCATCTTTGTATGATTTCTTGTGAGGTTTCGGAATGACGATGCATACCGCTGTTTTGAAGCAATCGGGGAAGTATCCGTATTGTAGAGTAGCTCTTGCCAGCTCTGTGAATGGTGCTCTAATGATTGCCCAAAATTCTTTCAGAGCTAGCACTGGGATACCATCTGGTCCGGCTGCCTTGCCGATTTTCAGTTTGTTTAAGGCTCTGTCGACTTCTTGTGAGGTGATCTCTGGAAAAGAATTATCCCAGCCAATATGTTGTGCAGGCGTTCGCTCTTGGGAATTTCTTTCTTCTGCGGTTTGTTCTCCTTTTAGTAATGCATCAAAGAGGACTTGGGCTTGCTCAGCTGGGCTGGAAGTGTGGGTTCCGTCGTTTTTAGTGAGCGGGGGGATGAATGGCATTGGGGCACTATTATTCTTGACGTAGCGCGTAACTTTGTGGATTTCGTTTGTAGGAATGTTGGCCAAGAAGGAGTTCCAGCATGTTGCCTTGGCAACTCTAATTTCGCGTTGATATAATCCTAGGGCAATCGATGACGCTCTTAGGTCTTGTGGTGCGCGTGTTCTTCGACTGATCTTCGTCAGCTCCTTTTTTCGGTCTCGGAGTTCGTTGCACCGTGGCGTCCACCATGGCTTTGACTTTGGAGTGATCTTGAGTTCGGGAGTGCAGGATGTGATGGCGTTGGAGATGCTGTCAGTGAGATGTGTTGCTAGCTCCTCTATGTCCTGGGTGCAATCCAGTTCACCGTAGTCTATATTGTTTAATAGCGTTTCCAGCTTTTGTCGTCCTTTGTTCCAGTCCGTCTTCTTGTAGTTCCATCTTTTGGGTGGGTCTACGTTACCACAGTCGAGCTTGATTTCCAAGTGTAAAGGACGATGGTCAGACGTGGTATCTATCTCATCGTCTACTGAGCACAGTGCCGTGTCGAAGTGTTCTACCGAAGAGCTGAGCCAATATAGATCTATGACTGTCGGTCGTTGATGTGATTGATAGCGAGTGGGTACCCCAGCTGGGCTCACGAGTGAGAAGGAAAGTTGGTGGAGTGCGCAAACGAGGTTGTCTGCATCTTGGTGGGGGCTGTCCTCCCAGTCTGACGGATTCCAAGCAGGGTGGTGTAGATTGAAATCGCCGAGGAGGTGTGTGGGCTGGTTGGCGAGTTGTTGGATGAGGTCGTGGAGGATCGAGAGATTGAGATGTTGCGTTTCTACCCGGTTGTACACATTGATGAAGTTGATCGGAACTGAATCTTCTCGCATCTGTATGCGTATGCCAGTGATGTTTGGGGTAGGGATTTCGATGGCTGCCATGGAAAACACCTTTTCGGCGAAGGCGTCTTGGATGAAGATGCAGGAGAAGGGGCGTTCAGAAGTTGTGGTGGTGGGGTATAAGATTCTGAAACCGGATCTTTGTCTTATTTGAGTTTGAGAGCGGGGTATGGTCGGTGGTTCTTGAATAAAGATTAATGGTACTTTGAGAGTGAGAGGGTTATTGAAAAAGGAGTCGAAAACTGGTCCTGATTTGTTCATGTTGTATGAGATTGTTTCAAGTGTACCTATCATTGAGGTGTTAGAGAGTGAGCTCTATATCCACCTTGATTGTCGGAGCCGCTGCGACCTTGGACATAGGATTGTCCGCTGAATGGAATTCCGTATAGTCTTGCGCGGTATTGTTCGCTTTGGAATGAGATTTGCTCTAAGTAGGCCTTCTTGGTTGGGCACGCAGCGTCAAATGCGTTATGTCCTTCTCTTGAGGCTTCAGGACAGTTGGAGCAGAATTTGGTCTCGTAGTGTGCGCATTTCTCAGTGCCACTGCAGATTATAGGCGGCATGTTAGGAGCATGGCGCATGCCTGAATCTTTTCTGACGTCTTCTTTGCACTTCTGCGAGCATTCCTTGTATTCGTGCTTTCCACCACATATGAAGCAGAAGGCTTCTGAGCGGCATACACGCTTGGTGTGTCTAACTTTTCCGCATCTGGTGCATTGGCGAGGGATTCTATTGGCAGGTTCAACGAGCAGG